CAAGCTCTGGCTAATTTATTTTGAATGCAGGATGTTCCTAACTCTGGTTACTAAAAGTACCAGCTAGAAATTAGTTTGTTTAGGGCCACACTGCTTGTTCAGAATTGCAAAATACATTAAAAGCCAATCAGATAAACAATAATTCTTCATGATTATCTCTGACATTAGAAACCTAGAAAGATCATACTGGGAATGGCCAGTTCTGGTTGTTATCTGCAAAATATTCCTGCTGCTGGAGAATATATCTCTAGATGCATGAAGCCATCTGCCTGAAGAGAGGAGCACATAAAATGCTAGAGAATCTTCAACTTCCTTGTGTTTAGATGGGAGATCTGAGGGGGAGTTCTACTAGCGTTCGCTTTAAAGTTAGTTCAACGGTCTAAACAAGCCAGGATTCTGTTTTATACAAGTCAAGATCACTCAGGGAGCCGTACTCATGTTTGCAAATACAGTCTTGCTTCAGACCTCCTGCCTGAATATGTGAGGTCTGGGAAGAGGCAGGTAGTACTAAAGCACAGCCTTGAGTCCTCAGCCTTCTGTGGCACTCAACTGCTGCACACCCAATTTATGGAGCTTTCTAGGTGGGACGGGGTGCAACATAAGATGCAGTACTAGCACTACGTGTATGTGAAGGAAAATATTTAATTCCAGCACACCACCATGACACAGTGCACAATGTGCACTAGGCAAAGGACTAGGCAACAGAGGAAGTGCAGCAGGATTGGGGATGAAAATGCTGCACAGCTAAATTAAGAGGGAGAGAAAAATGTGCATATGCTCTGTTTGTCAGCTGTTTGCCATGGAGACTTTATACACCCAAAAGCCAGTACCCAGAAGTTAGAGAAGGACATGTGTAGGTGATAACAGCCAGAGGCAGATAGGATGTTTGAGAGGAAGGCTCAAAGCTGACGTTCCTCAACGTATGTGCATATTGCTAGCCTGACTGGGCAGAATACTTAGAGAGTTCTTGAGAAAGAGAAAGAGAGGCAAAGGAGTGCAATTTCTACACACAACACATTCACCAGTGCCTATAATCATAAATATCTTTCATGGGAAAAGTATGGAGTTGTTTCTATCATGGTGGGATCAGGCTCAATAATAAGAGTACTTGGAAAGACATAAGACACTAAAAGTTTCAAAGTAGCTGAAAGAT